TTAACAATTAAAAAGAGCAGTCACTCGTACTATAAAATATTGTAGAGCTTAAACAGTAATTAAGATTAGTCACTAGAATCAAGAGGTGGGTGGGTGGGCGGGGTAATTGCTTGCTTACAAGACTGTAGAGATGGAAGTTGGATTTAAATTGAGCAATAGTAGAATCTATTTAGAAGTATTTTTTTATACAATTTTAACACATATACGAAAAACGATCTTGCCGTCAACGTTTACATAAAAATATAAAAAAAAAAACATATAAAATAAACACGGTGTACACAATTTAGCGCCGCCCTTGTCTCCGCCCCAATGAAACAATATTTTAAGGTGGAGCTTGAGTGAGTGGGAGAAGCATCAGAAATATTGCATTTTAGATGTAATATTCATATTTGATATTTTTATTTAATACCAACTTAATACTTTCTGCGTACCTTGTTTAAGATTTATCGTTTTTTTTTGTCAACGGTGTTACATATTTGTCTAAGATTGTAAAAAGATGATAATTTTCCATTAATTAAGAGTATTAATATCAGTTACTAGAATCAAAAGGTGGGCGGGTGGGCGGGGCTGTTGCTTTGTTATAAGAATGTAGCCCACCCACCCGCCCATATCCCGTTTTGATGACCTTTTTTATTGGCTCTAAAACGAAAGTCGGATTTAAATTGACAAATAGAATCTATATAGAACTATTTTTTCTACAAAAATTTTAAACGCTTATTCGAAAAACTACCTAACTGTCAGTGTTTACACAGGTATGTTAAAAAATTATATAAAGTAGACACAATGTAATACAATTTTAAAAGTCGCATTTGTCTCCGAGCGAATGAAATGATTTATTAAGGTGGAGCTTGAGTGAGTGGGAGGAGCATCAGTAATATTGCTTTTTAAATGTAATTTTCACGTTTGGTATGTTTATTTATTATCAGCTTAATACTTTTGAGATACTTTGTTTACGATTTATAATTTTTTTAACAACGATATAACATATTTCTAATAAGATAATAATTTTCCGTTAATTAACAGTATTAAGACAAGTCACTAGAATCAAGAGTTGGGCGGGTGGGCGGGGCTATTGCTTGCTTAAAAGACTGTAGCCCCACCCACCCTTATTCCGTTTTGATGACCTTTTTATTGGCTCTGAGACGAAAGTCGGATTTAATTTGACAAATAATAAAACCTATATTGAACTATTGTTTTTAATAAAATTTTAACATATATTCGAAAAACGACCTTGCCACCAACGTTTACATAGAAATATTAAAAAAATAATATGAAGTAGACACAATGTAGTAAAATTTAGCGCCGCCCTTGTCTCCGCCCCAATTAAACGATATTTTAAGGTGGAGCTTGAGTGAGTGGGAGAAGCATCAGTAATATTGCTTTTTAGATGTAATGCTCATATTTGATATTTTTATTTAATACTAGCTTAATAATTTCTAGGGATCTTGGTTACGATTTATCATTTTTTTTCCCAACAGTATAACATATTCGCCCAAAATTCTAATAAGATAATAATTTTCCATTAATTAACAGTATTAAGATCAGTCACTAGAATCAAGAGGTGGGCCGGTTATTGCTTGCTTATAAGAATGTATTATTTACTGAACACCAGTAAACCAAAATAAGAATGAGAAACCATACTGTGATAACCCAAACATTCCGCCTTAAATTGACATGTGAAAAAAATTTTGAAAGCCCGTGAAAAATTCAAAAATTCCAAAATTTGGCCCACCCACGTTGTGTTTTTGAAAAAACAGCAGGATGCGTTCAGATGCAAGTGGTGGCCCCAAGGTTGGAAAAGTACCGCTAAATAAAAGAAAATATGCGGAGGACACAAGATTATTTATTCCTCCACTGCCAAAGAAAAAGCTGCGACTAAGTGAAAACACCGCTTAATGCTCAACTACAAAAAAAAAAAACTTTGAATGAAATCAAATTAAACGTTCTGAATCAATGCAAATATTTGAATGTAATAAATATAACAAAAACAAAGCAACATCTGAAGTAAAGTAACTGGATGCAAATACACGAGTTATTACGGACGTGTGGCGGCAAATTTAAATTCTGGCCGTCAACAAAGAACAAAATTTTAATAAAAAAACTATGCAGCGGCAGCGGCATCAGAGCGCTATAAGAGTGGGGTAATCGAACTATGTCAATTTCATTTTAGAGCACAACAAAAATACCCATAGAGGGCGTTGTAGCACGAGCGGAATTTGGGTGGTGGCCAGCTCGACAAGGAACCGCGCACTTCGCTTCCGCTACGGTTTCTGTGTTATTTAGCCTCAATTCTCTTTAAATGTTCAATTTCTATAACTCTGACATTAAACTACAACTGAACAAGCGTTAAAGTTTCAAAAAGAGCAATAAACAACATTTAAATTCGCCATACACTCCCGTGAACCTAATAATTCTCAAATAATTCTTATTTGAGGTTAAAATGGGACATCAGATAATTTATATGATGCAAACATTAATCAACAAAATATTTACAAGAAAAAAACTAGCAAAGATTTATAAAAAAAAAGGTCTGGTGTGAAGTAAAACTTGTGCAGATAAAAAAAGTTACGTGAGATTAGGAAATGCAGAGCATGAAAAACACATAAACAAAAAACATAGCAGGGAATCTGGAGGTTTAACATTGCGTCGAACGAATGCGTCATTAAAAAAAAAGCGTCAAAAATATGTCTCTCAGAAATGTGATCAATCCTGTGGCGTTATGCAAATAATGATAATAATAATAAATAAAATGCATGTTCCAGATGACCCATAATGTTGTTAATTTGTTCAATAAGATTTTAAAGTTCAAACATGTGCTCGGTTTGAAAATACTCTTTCAACATGGCCGCTGCTAGAACAAAGAATTTACCTGATGTTAAATTATGCCACACTTCAACAACGATTCAAACAAAGAATGTTAAATGATGTCTTGATCCAAGTGACTGGTTACTTAAAACCATTAGCTTTGAGAGTTTATATCGTGGACTGTCCCCAGGTTATCCCAAACAAAACACATGATAAATAAACACAAAATGTGATGGTGATGTGATGACGATAACGATGATAACTACCTAAAGAGAAAAATTTAAATATAAATAACTTAATGTTGTAGGAAATAGTATAACAAAAAAAAATTAATATTACATGCTAGATTCTATTATTAGTTTCCATTCCCATCAGATAAAAGAACATAATTAGCCCCGCCCACCCACCCTGCCTCTTTTTCAGTGGTTGATTTTATTCGATCAGAATAAAATGAATGATCTTATACTTAACAGAAATAAAATTAGTCATTAGAAGGAGAAGAGGGGGTGTGGTCGGGGCTAGTACTTGCTAAGATAAGACGGATTTTGGCAAATAACATACCCTTTAAGAAAATAAAGGGTGGGTGGGCGGGGCTAATTCTTGCCAAGATAAGACTGATTTTGCCAAATTGTACACCCTCTAAGAAATTAGAGGAATGGGCGGGGCTAGTACATGATAGGATAAGACTGATTTTGGCACTTTTGACATTTTCAACCATTTTTCAGCTAGAGCAAGTCAGGTCACGTTAGGTCCTATCAGGTCAGGTACATGAACTAAGAAATAAATTTTATAGGAAGTAGTATAACAAAAAAATTACGATTAGTGCTTTTTTTACTTTTTTACATACTAGATTCTATTATTAGTTTCCATTCCCATTAGATAAAAGAACATAATTAGCCCCGCCCACCCACCCTGCCTCTTTTTCAGTGATTGATTTTATCCGAGCAGAATGAAATTAATGATCTTATACTAAACAGAAATAAGATTAGTCGTTAAAATGAGAAGAGGGGGGTGGGCGGGCTAGCACTTGCTATGTTAAGAATGATTTTGGCAAATGAATACCCTTTAAGAAAATAAAGGGCGGGTGGGCGGGGCTAATACTTGCCAAGATAAGACTGAATTTGATAAATGACATATCTTCTAAGAAATTAAAGGGTGGGTTGGTGGGGCTAGTATTTTTGGCACTTTTGACATTTTCAACCTTTTTTCTACTAGAACAAGTCAGGTCACGTTAGGTGAAGTCAGGTCAGATGCATAAAATAAGAAATACATTTTATAGCAAATAAGAATACTCAGCATGCCCCGAAGAATTTCTACATTGTTGAATGTTCGAAGGGGCAATACGCATTATTAATTTAAAGCCAAGAACAAAAAAAAATTGTTTATTGTTATTAACTTTTTGGTGGGTTTTTGAAATTTAACATTTAGGTTGTTAATAAAGTCTTTATTTTGCTAAAAACTACAATATACTAATTATATATAATAGTAAGACCAAAATAATGTTATCTTTTTTAATTCAGTAACACGTACCACCACTTTTTTCTAGTGCGCCACGTTTTTTGTAATTCAGTGTAGTTAACGATTAAACTCCTAACATGAACTTTGAATTTACAAACAATAAAACAAATTACAACACGTGTTAGCGTCGGTCGAAAATTCGCCTGGTTCCGAGTAGAAAGCCGCAAGAATTAGCTACGCGTGTTGGGGAAAAGTGATGAACCACCACCGAACAGAATGACTCATCTACCAAGCCGCCCTCTTCTACTAACCCTCTAACTAAAATTCCAAGCAGAACTACCTACAACCCAAAAGGCGCCAGCGTGCACATGGTTGCCTATGTTTAACGATTGTCTTGACTTTTTAATTCAAATTCGGTCACCACAAGACTGAAAACAAAACTTAACCGTTAGGTGTCGGTTAACCCTTGCTTATTTACCACCCAAAAATTACAGTTTGCGATGAACTGACAAACAAATCAAAAAAGAAATCGATAACAACGCATACCATGTTTTCTTAACAGACGTAGAAAAACATATTGAACCCTCGCATAAAGCATCTATTTTCCTCACACGAATTGCATTCTCGTTATAAATAAGTACCTATTTCTTTGCAGAAACGCAGCAGACACTAGAACACACTAAACAACACACACGTCTGCAACAAAACCATTAAATATGCCCCATTTTCCTTTGTAGATATGGATTCCGTCAACAGCTCCCTCGACTACGAGCTCACGACCATCGACCCCGACGTCTCCTACACGCCGTATCCCCAGCGTCCGGAAACCTACATCGTTCCGGTGGTCTTTTTCATCATTTTCGTCGTCGGGGTGCTGGGCAATGGAACACTGGTTATAATTTTCCTGCGACACAGGGCGATGAGGAACGTCCCTAATACGTAAGGACATTTGCATGTGCCGTCTTACTGGTCCATTAAGCGTTATCGCGGCCGTTCTAACCCGATTTAGACAATCCAAAATTCGCCGAGCAAGCTCCTTTCCGGGTGAAGACGACTTTGTTAAGAGATTGAAAGGATCGGGAGCATTTCCGACTGCTAATAAGATTTTAGTAGTTGGAGGAATTCGAAGCGGTTGCGTGATTTCCTCTGGGGTGAACGGAACGTATGGTCGCAGAGAAATGATTTTTTAAGTGAAGTGGATATGCTGCGCACGAGAATTAGATTTTTAAACAGACTTAAAATGAACATTACTTTCCCTTAACGAAAAACTTGCCCACAACAAAATCCCTCTTGGTGGAGAATTCACCCCTTGAAGCACCGAATTAGCTGAAAATAATTAAGCGGCCTCATAAATTAAGTGGCTATTGCTTGTAATTAAAATTCTCTTCAACTTACCGTGTAAATTAAAAAGTTGCTAACGGAGCCAGAGGGACGAGTTCGTCCGGGTTTTCAGCACGTCAGGATCTTGTTTTTTAGCTTTCTTTTTTCCTAGAATACTTGATTTTGTGTAATTACCTGCAGCAATTAAAAGTTCTTGACGAAATAATTATCCCAGAAAAGTTTACATCAATACGAGGTTAATTAATGGCGAGTTTATTTTCGAAAAGTTGTCATAACAGAGACGAGGCTACTATTTGCGACGCGAAGATTTGTGCAGGTTCGTCGAGGACCTGGAGGTATATAAACTTGAGTAATGCGAAACAGAGAATTTTTTACAAGTCTGGGAATCCCAGAACAAATTGAGCACTGGATGTTATATCGGGAGATGGGAACTCGTCTTGATGGAGCGTTATGAAACTTTTACATTCAAATATACGTATATGGTGTACTTTGCTACATAAATGCGTAGTCGCTGTTAATAATTCGTGCATTCTTTGCGAACGAAGTGTTTTCTAACCCGTCCTAAAACAACTCTGTTGACTTGAATGTCATATTCCCATGTTTGTTCTTGAGTTGAATTCGCGGTACGAATTTTATTAATATTATTTTACAAGGAAAGTTGAAATTTTGCATGATTTCACAAGCTGCCCCAAAAATCGGTTACAGTTATTACATTATTTCTTACAACACTTATAACAACTTAGATAATACATTTATGGACTTACAAATTAAAACTAACAATGTAGGTATACTCTATTACTCTATTAACTAGCTACTCTCTTGAAAAATATTCTTCAATAAGTTCTGCAGTTCGATTCTTGGACGAATGCTTGCACAGATCCATATTCCTGGAAATTTGTAAACATTCTAAGTTCAAGGTTTAAATTTGCCATTAGATAGTTAGTGTAAGATATTACCATGAATACCTTTTGTTGTTCAGAAAAAAAAAACATTTGTCGTAAACAGTAAAATTCACACACTAATCTCGAAAAAATTTATTTTTATAGGGAAATGTTGTCATAAATAAACGGCAAATAATATAACAATTCCAAAGCCTGTTCCAAATATATTTTTATTCGTCGAGCGTAAGCTAAGGAAGTATTGTATTGTAATAGGGTGCATCGGATGAATGGGTACCTTCATGTTTTCTCGACGTTTAGTGTACGAAACAATAGATTTCCCGGTTCCGTCTGTGTCGATTATTATTAGACAGACAAATTCCAAAACTACCGCATCCATTGCTATCAAATTTTATATGTGTGTTATGGATATCTTTTTATTAGATTTAATGAAATAATAATAATAATTTATTTACTTGTTTAACCTAAAAGATCTTGATATTGTAGCCTGGGATTGTAAATTCATTTTTGGCAGATTTCGTAAATGTGCGGAAAAAATGAGTTTGATCAAGCTTGTAAGGTGGAAGATATAGTTTACCGTGTATTATAAAAATTTAGAAAATCAACACAAAACATTGTCTTACTTAAAAAAAATAAAGGGAAAGTTGTTCCTTAGACACACAAATATATCTAAAACAGATAAAAAGAAAAGAAAACAAATTTGGATTTTTTTACTTCCCGAGCGTAAGCAAAGGAAGTATTGTAATCGAGTCCGTCGGCCGACTCTCTACTTTTACGTTTTCTCGATCTTTCATGACCCCTAGAAGACGAAGAAATAAGTCTCCCATTTCCGTCTGTCTGTCCGTCTGTCTGTCCGTCTGTCCGTCTGTCCGTCTGTCCGTCTGTCTGCCGTCCCGGATTTTTATTAGACAGATAATCTCCGAAAGTACTGGACCGATTGTTGTGAAATTTTGTACTTATATTAGGAATATCATCTAGATGGTAAAACGCTAACCAGAATTTGTCTAATCATCCCCACCATTAATGCGATGACGTCACTTCAAAATTGTACATAGTAAATGGGTCTTAAATTGTATAAAATAACATAGTCTTATACATGTCGTTTACGACTCCGAATCGAGTCTTTACCCGAAACGTCCAGATTTTTGGAAAAAGAATCAAAATTATAAAACAACATTTTCCAATTTAATTTTGAATCTGCTAACCCGAATGTTTTGAAATGTTGCAGATGTTTTAAGGCTCTAAAGAGCATCATAAATCTTTAGTCAAAATATATTTGGTTATCCCCTCCAAAAACTTGATGACGTCAGCTCAAAAGTTTGCCGAATAAATCCTATTTAAAATGTACAAAATATGATACGTCTGTACTTGTGATATATCACTCCATTCATATTTTTTGGATTTGCATATACAGGGTAGCTCAAAAAAATTAATGAATGCGCAAAATTTATTTTATTGATTTACTCAGGAATTACAAAACCGAATGCTTTAAAATCTTGAAGATGTTTTAAAATTATCATAAGCATGGTAAATTTTTGATCAAAATGTATTTGGTCGTCCCCCCTAAAAAGTTTCTGACGTCACCACAAAATTTTGCTGAATAAATTCTATCTAAAATGTACAAAATATGATGAGTTTCTTCTTGTGATTTATCATTCCATTCAAATTTTTTCGATTTGCATATACAGGGTGACTGAAAAAAATTAATGAATGCGTCTATTTATTTTATTGATTTAATCAGGAATTACAGAACCGAATGCTTTGAGATCTTGGAGATGTTTTAAAGTTATTATAAGGATGGTAATTTTTTTATCAAAATGTATTTGCTCTTCCCCCCTAAAAAACTGATGACGTCACTCCAAAATTTTGCTGAATAAATCCTATCTAAAATGTACAAAATATGATGAGTCTGTACTTGTGATTTATCATTCCAATCATATTTTTTGGATTTGCATATACAGGGTGACTCAAAAAAATTAATGAATGCGTCAATGTATTTTATTGATTTAATCAGGAATTACAGAACCGAATGCTGTCAAATCTTGGATATATTTTAAAGTTATCATAAGCAGGGTAAATTTTTTATCAAAATTTATAAAAAATTGATGACGTCACCCTAAAATTTGGTAAATAAATCTACCTAAAATGTGAAAAATATGATGAGTCTGTACTTGTGATTTATCATTCCATTCATATTTTTTCGATTTGCATATACAGAGTGACTGAAAAAAGTTAATGAATGCATGAATTTATTTTATTGGTTTAATCAGGAATTAGAGAACCGAATGGTTTGAAATCTTGGAGATGTTTTAAAGTTATTATAAGGATGGTAAATTTTTTATCAAAATGTATTTGCTCATCCCCCCTAAAAAATTGATGACGTCACCCCAAAATTTCGCTGAATAAATCCTATCTAAAATGCAAAAAATATGATGAGTTTGTACTTGTGATTTATCATTCCATTCATATTTTTTAGATTTTCTTAAGAGGTGGCTCAAAAAAATTAATGAAGTCAATTTATTTTATTGATTAAATTAAAGGCAACACTTATTATTAGTATTACATTGGACCAACCCAATTTGGTAGACACAAAATTTTTTAAAGTAAAAACTCGGTTGAAACATAAGGGTAGCACTCTTATTTATATCGACTTTAACATTACAGACGTGCATTTGTTTTGTGCGTTGACTAGGTTTCGCGAATGTGGAATAGACATGTTTATAATCAACCAATTGTGAATTCCACCGTCAAAAATTAAAATAAAACCCAATGTTTTATATAATAAGCGGAAGTCGAAGCAATAAAACCGATGGTCGTTTTGTTTACAGTTTCTCTGTTTGACTCTCATGTATGCTGTTACGCTTGTCATCTTAAATTAAGAATGTTTATACATAAACGATTTTCTGTTGCCTCTCATATTACACACCGGCGCCGTATACGTGAGTAAATTGTTTCGTTATTTTATTGATTATAAATTGGGAATACAATAATTTTTTTAATTCTTAGTATTACACTACATCTAGCCCAACTGATATACGTGTCCTTGCAAAAATGTTGATGACGTCATCGCAATTTTTTTTAAATTCCCACTACAAAAATGTAATGGGAAAAAAAAAACACAACAGGCATGCAGTCGTCAAGTTTCCGACAGCGAGGGAAGTACTGTCTAAACTCTTTAGACCAATTTTTTTCATTGAATTTAATGAAATAATAATAATTTACCTACTTGTTTAACCTAAACAATCTTGATATTGTGGACTGGGATTGTAGACTCATTATTGAGAGATTGGTTAGACTTCGTAAATGTCACAATAATATGTGCGGAAGAAATAAGTTAGTAAAGTTTGTAAGACGGAAGATACAGTTTATCGTGAATTATAAAAATTTTGAAAATCAATACAGAACATTTTCTTACTGAAAAAAAAAATAGGGGAAAACGTCTTCTTCTTGTTAATTATATAATATGTGTAGATGGTAAAATGCTAACGTGATGACGTCATTTCAAAATTGTACATAGTAAATGTGTTTTAAATTTCATAAAATAATATAGTCCTATATGTGTATTTTAAGAATCCGAGTTTTGATCCTAGATATTCAGATTTTTGAAAAAAAAATCAAAATTATATGACATTTTGCAATTAACTTTGAAATTGCAAAATCCAATTCCATTCATCGTTTTTATAATTACTCATACAGGGC